TCACCCTTAAAAGCTCTTGGCCCTGGCTGGTGTGGCTCAGTGGCTTGAGTGCCGGCCTGTGAACTAAGGGCTTGTCGGTTTGATTCCCAGTCAGGGAACCTGCCTGGGTTGTGGGCCAGGTCCCCAGTTGAGGGTGTGTGAGAGGCAACCACACATTGATGCTTCTCTCCCTCCCTTCACCTCTCTCTTAAAGTTAATAAATAAAATCTGAAAGAAAAAAAAGCTCATAGGACCAAGCACTCTCCTGCTCCCAGGAGCACACCCGTGACTCTCCCCTCCCCCCCCTTACTCTCCTCTTTCCTAAGCTCCAAGGGCCCTTCTCTTGCCTCTGCCTCTTGTTCCCCGAGCCTATTCCTTGTACAGCTCACTCTACCTCTGTGACTCCTAAATAAACAAGTCTCTTCCGGTCTGTCTCTTGGCTCTGAACTCTTCTCCCCCAGCCAGATCCCAGGTACCGAGGTTGCTGACCCCACCAGCCTAACATCTGGTGCTGTTCTCGCCTCTGCCCACAACGGGATAGTAATTTCTTAAAAAGTCATACATAACTTTTATCCTATGACCCAGCAATTCCACTCCTAAGTACCTACCCAAGAGAAATACACACATGTCTACACGAAGACGTGTATGCAAACATTCTTAACAGCACTATTAAGAATAGCCCCAAAGTGGAGATGAGCCAATTATCTGTCACCGGTGAATGGAGAGACAAAATATGGTCTATCCAGACAATGAAATGCTTTTACCAACAAAAAGGAACAAACTCTTGATACTTGCTACAGCGTAAAGCTTCAAAACATTATGCTAGGTTGAAGCCAGATGCAAAAGACCACATATATCCGATGCCATTTATATGAAATGTCCAAAAAAGGCCAATCTGTGAAGATCCAAAGCAGATTAGTGGTTGCCAGGGGCTGGGACAGGGGTGGCCTTGGACTGCAGGTCCGCGTGTTCGTGGGGGGGTGGCACAGCAGCTCCTAACATCACAAAACGCCCCCCCCCCGTGGGAAGGTCTCAGTCTGTGAATTGTACCTCAATAATGTGGTCATACATTATGTAAATGTGGTCACTTTATATTTTTAACTTTATGTTAAAAGTTAAATATACAACATATAACTTTGTATAGTTATATTTTTAACTTTCTAAAAAATATAACAAGTTAATTTTTTTATGAAGGTAAACAAGCAAATATTCTCTTATATCCTTACCAGAGAAAACTGCTAGTTTTCAGCACATATATTTTTGCTGTGGATGTGTTTTAACAAAAAGTGACTTCTATCTAGTTTTTGAACTGCTTGGTTAAGATGAATACATTTACACATCATTAAACTTTTTTTAAAAACAAAACTGCCTGAGTTTTATTTCATGGAATCAAGAATAAAATTGGAAAACCATCTTTAAGATCATCTAAGCTCCACTGACCTCCTTTGGTTTCAATCTCCTTATGTATAAAATGAGGCAGAACTGAATGGTTTTCTTTGCTCTTGACCTCCCTGCTGATTGCGTGTCCCTCTCAAATTTTCTATTCTTAAAGGGATGATTACTCTAATCTGCTAACAATAATGTAAAATAGTAACTAAAATTGTGAGTTTATTTCAGGCCAGGGTACATGGATTTTTCTTATTTAAGTCTCCCCCAAATCCTTTTTAAAGGCAAAAAAAAAATTAAAATTTTCTTGGGTTAAAAAATGAAGATTTCTCTCGGGGGAGTAAGAGAATGTGAAGTTATTGCTTCATGGTTACAGGGATTGGGGTGTTGACAATGTTTTGGAAATAGTGGCAATGGTCGCACAACATTGCTGATGTTATTAATGCCACTGACTGTACACTGAAAATGGTGAAAATAGCGTTTTGTTACATTTTATGACACCAATTTTTAAAAGGACATCTGTGCTAGGTTAATCAACAAGGTGCATGCAGCCTTTCACCATCTGAACCCACACTTTTAAGAAAAGTTTTGCTGAGATGTAACTGGCAACATATGGTACACATTTAAGGTGTGTATGATTTGCCCTATGTACATACTGTGTGAATGAAGACTACCACCAAATGCTTAGTTAACACACCCGTCACCTCAGGTAGTTATTTTTGTGTGTGTGTGTGTGTGTGTGGTAAGAACTGACCTACTCTCCGAAACTTTCAATACCAAGAGATTGTTAACTACTGTCCCCTGCGTTACATTACATTTGAGCAATCTCTCTCTATTGGTCCCACCCCTCAGCCCTCGGCAATCACCAGCCCACTCTCATCTCCTAGGGGAACCCATATTCTTAATACGAATGCCATCTGCATGTTGAGGACAATCTTCTGTAACTCAGTGAAAAAAAAGATAAACATTTCAGTACCTGGTGGAGAGAGGCCCAGGTTTTACCAAACTATCATCACTCAGAGATCCTTATTCTTTTATCTGGTCCTGTTTTACCTTTGCTTCTGAAAAGGTAAGTCCACAATTAATTCTGACACACCCACAGTGTCAATTTCTTAGTTTAAACTTTTGACAAAGTTGAAGTTCACTGTACCAGGAAGGATGAGGCCTCAAGAATGAACTGACTGTTACTGTAGGCTTTACCCCTCATTGCCGAACTTCATGCCCGTGAACACAGGGGTTAAAGTACCCTCTACGTTTGCAGTATCAATAGATTAAACCATGGTGGGCTTCTATTTCACAGGCCTCTTAGGCCTATATTTTTGTCCAAAAATCACTCAAAGCACAAGTCAGTTTTGAATGTGAACGAGATCCAGTGATTCCAGTATTTTAAAGCTTGATAACCTCTGAGGTTGGAGTAGACGGGGTCTTAGAGAAAACAGGGACAGTAACACCGTCGTTTTCTTTAAATCAGATGAAATAAAAATTACCCTTAAGCCCGCTCTTCATCTTTCCATAACATCAAGGAACATGCCAACCCGTTGAACCGGAGAACGTGCTCCCTGAACGTGGGGGACTGAAGACGGTCAGGTACTATAACAGACGAGCCTGTTCTGTAACGAGGCTTGCACTGTGTTGCCATGGGCGGGTACAGATGAAGGGTACACGAAGACTTCTCATTTAAAGAACATCTTTATTTGACCTTTAATATACAATATTACCTTTGCTTTATAAAAATTACATATGGAGGACATGACTGGAAACCAGTTCAGGAGCGGCCAGTGGGTACCGATTTAAGAGGTTACACTTACCCCACTTCTGGTTTAAGAAAATCGTATTGGTGAATTTGAGACCAGTTCGATTGAGCAATGGCATTTCAACTTCCAAATCCAGTCACTAAAACTGGGGATAAGTTATTTCATTAATCCAACAAAATCTAATTTCTAAGTTTTCTAAAAAATAATTTTCCCCGAGAGAGCTAAGCTTATCTCCAAGGAGTTTCTGGTACGCAATCTGCAGTGAATTCTGTAACATTCGAATAGCTGTAAGACACCTGCAATTGTTTAAATCCTCTACGTGATAAATGCATGTGGGTTTGTGTGCTTGTACGCTCACTTTCACACTGAGCTGTAGTAATCTGCAGAGCATTTTGGGCTTGGAAAGGCAGCCCATTATGTGTGCTCCCTGTCACTCGGAATACCAGCCTCCCCTCCTCGAGAATTTCCAAAAATCGTGAAATACTTGATGAACTTTCAGCAGAACATCTATTATCTCTAAGGATGATCGGTGCATTGCAACACTAGTAATATGGGGTGGAGTCACTTCATGAGTTCTGCTGAGCTCGAACCAAGTTTAAAACGGATTACATGTTAAACAGTTGAGGTTGAGATTGAGAGAGATTTTAATGACAATATGATGCACACTGACATTGTGAAACAATGCTAATGACTTGTGAAGGGTTTCGGGCGAGTTATGCAAAGAAGAGGAGGGGGGACTGTCGTGTGCACAGGTCTTTCTCTGCACTCCTCAGACGTAGGCAGTCCTGGAGCTACAGGGGCAGCGCCCTTCTGCAGCCTACAAAAGTAACAGTGGCTGCCAAATGGCACATGACCCATTTTCTGCTGCTTGAAACTTTTCAAGAGGTTGGTTTCTGCCACACAAAGGTTCAGAAATTCCATCATGTTCCTAACAGAGGGTTCTAAGAGCACTCGAGTGGAGGAATTCTGCAGCCCCAGCAACCCAGAGCCTTGGTCCAAAGGTCAACAAGCAGGCAGAACTTAGACAGAATCACGATTTTGACACCACAGAAACACTTCGTTTTACGTGGGGACTACTCTGGAATTGTGGCACTGAATGACAAGGCAAGGGTATTGGCTGATAGTACACAAGAACAAAAATACGCCTCTTCCATGATAGTTCCACCATACTGAAAGCTAGACAGACTCCAGGAGTATATGTTTTCAAGACAAAAAATATACAGCTGCGGGTTACACAAATACACACCCTCATACACACACACGTCATTTTGCTTTAAATGAACTGCATAACTCAAATACAGAGAAACGGTGCAGATCAAAGATTAGAGTCTTACACAAACTAAACTCTGGGATCAAGGTTAACATCTGTGACCCACGGGCAGAACCCAGCCCTCCGTGTTTTCGTAAATGAAGTTGCACTGGAACACTTCGTCTGCACACTGCCTGCACCTGCTCTCATGTCTCATGGCAGCACTGAGCAGCCGAGTAGCAGAGAGAGGGTGGCTCACAAAGCATCTGTACCTTTGGAGAAAAGCTTGCCGAGCCATGCAAGAACAAAAAGAACACCTCCACCATGATCTGAATGAGCTAAAGTAACAGAAAATCACCACCACCAATGTTCTTGAACCAGAATAAGTCCATTAAAATGTCTCAAGACCATTATCTGGTTACTCAAATATTCTGCTCCGAAGCTGTGCAGCCCAAAACAGCCAACCAGCCTTCCCAGCAGACACACCGGTGATGGGAAAACCTCTGTGTGTAAAACTGTCTTTATGCATGTATCTATGTAAAGAACGGATAGGACAGGAGCGCGCCAGTTTACAGGTAAGAAAACCTACAGAAAAATAACTATTCAAAGTACTACTACTGGGAACTGAGAAATGTTTTAGTATATTTTTCTTTATATTAACATCATGGAACCACTATTAGGACACAGAGCAAAACCAATATACAACTGCAAGTTTTACCCATGAATTATGTGACAAATTTTTTTTAATATAAAATAACCAGCATTTCTAGAAAACATTTTTAATTATGTAATTAAATATAGCAAAATAAGAATGTTTGCATTTATTTCTAAGTATTTTAGCCCAAGTCGCATCAGAAATCAAGTATTTTTTGACATTTTCTGCAAGTTTAGTTATTAACTACAATTATAGCTATTGGGATTATGCAGTGACAAACTGTTTAAAATATATTATAAACAATTTCTTTTACTCTTTAATTTCAACGAACTATAAAATTAAGAATTTTGAAACATGACTCGTACTGGGAACCATTTAAAATGGTATGAACTACTCTCATACAGAAAACGCCAGTGGAATCGCGAACACCCTGATGCCCGCCAGTGCCCAGCGAGACGCCCGGCGTGATGCCTGGCACGGGGTGGGCACTACGTGCCGCTCACTCGTTCTCTCTCTCACTCCCGCATTCGTTCAGAGAAATCCAGGCTTCAGGAGAAACTGCATAATGAGAACGGCATGCACAATCTCTTATCAACACACCTGCAGTTTTGACAAAGACTCTGGCAATGCAGAGTGGAGATGAGATGATCGAAATTTCACACTGCACGGTTAAAATCTACCCAGTGAAGCCCTAGATGCCACCATAGAAAAGCACGGTCAATATCCCACAAAAGGAATACATTCCTTCCATACTCAGTTATACATACACATTTGCTCGAAGACAGGGACAAGCTGGCGTCAGAGAGACATGCCTCAGCACATAACCACCGGAAAGCAAGCACCCTCTGATGGGGGACTTATTTTTCTGCACCAAGACTGCTTTTTGGTTAGGGCCACATTCTCTTGGTCTTAACAATTTCATAGTGGTTTGAACAAAAAGGTGTGATTCTAAAATTGTAAAAGAACTAAATGTAGAAGTTAGAGGGGTATTCAACCATCTTTATTTTTTTCTTTTACATACCAACTGATCTATTTTGCATATCTGTGCCAAAGGCACAAAGTAAGGTGTCCACTCTGAGGAGACACCTAGAAAGGAGCATTTCTAGGCCCTTTGCAGAAGGTTTCATGTGTGTAGTAAGTTATTTAGCCTGAGTAATAGGTCTACAAAATGCAAAGGACTGTCAAGAACAGGACAGAGTAAAGAATGCTCTTGGGAACTAAGCAGAATATGGCATAAGGATTGATCTTGAAGGAAATCATTGTAAAAATCCGTAACAAAAATAAAACATGACCCTGGCAAGTCATTTGTAGCTGACTTTAATTACCTTTGGTATTAAGAAGGAAAAGAATGGAAGCATTATTTGAAGCTCTGGTCTTCTCATCCTCACAAGGAAGGTAGGGGCCGGTGAGGAAGACCCTCCCAGGGCCCCTCGCAAATTGTGTGCCTGTTCCTGCACCAGCCAGGCTCGTGCACGTGCTGCCTTCTGCTAAGTTCCAGTCACTGGAGAAATACAACAGAGCACTGAGAGTGAGGGTTCTGTCTTATTCCTTGAGAAGTTCCCGGGGAACCCAGAAGGGCTCTTTACTCGGACTCCTCTAAACGAAGTGAGGGCGGGTCCACTGCCACCTGCACAGCCGTCTGGGTCCCTGCCAACTCAAGTTTCCACTTTTTGTTTTGAGAATCAAGTACTTTTCCCCCTCTTTCTCTTCTGAAGTTACAGTCACCTACCCTTCTCATTTAAAGTGTCAGTTTTCAAGTAGTAAAAGATATTACAATTTCAAATATGAGCTAAAACCGAGCTCTCTTTAAGACTGAAGTGATGTGACTGGCTCCACAGCCTTGTTTTCCGTGCACACTAAAAAACGTGATCATCATCGATCACTGGCTGACTCTGAAGATTTTTTGACTAGTCATGGGGTATGATGATCACCCTTAGAAAATATTTAGTTCTATTAATTTATAAATCTTTTTCCAATTTAATCCACATGCCCATGAAAGGTCAAAAAGAAGAGCCACCAAACTCAGGACATACGCCCGCAGAGTGCCAGGGTGGGTTCTTGCAGACAGTGTTTCACGACACCTTCCGATTCAGATAAGTATTGGACTTGTTATCCTACTCCCAACCTCCATTGTCAACGGAAGTTGTTTGTATTAAATATAAAGAAGAGAAAGTGTCTTGTACTGTGACATAAATTCAAGGGACAGAAAATTTATAAGCATTATTTATCTTACAATATAGTTCTTAATAAATTTTAAATTCCTCCCCCCAAATATAAAGAAACATTAATTTATTCAAAAAGAAATATCACTGCAAAATCTGATGGTGTAAGGAAATCCTTTAGCTATTATATCCCAAATGCAGTGTAATATGACTAATTGCACTGCACCTTTATCACTAAAAATTATTTTGCAGCTATTTTGATGAACTCTTTGGATTTCTATAAATATTCTTGGAAAAAAATAAAAGTTAAACTTATTTTTACTTAAAAATATTTTTGAAAAGCTCACTCATCTGACGAGATAGTGAAGGACCCATGTCCCCATTTCAGATGATGCTATTTAAGGAAGTTCCACTCTATGTGTCTTGTTTTTGACTCAGTAAGATGTGACAGTAATGTGGCTTTCCACGGCAAATTCAGAGCTGACAGCGGATTTTGCCAAGCCATACAAATAAAGTTGTAAGTTGAGGGGTTCTACTAAGGTTATAATGAGGTTAAAATGGTTAAAATTTACTTGGTAGATTTGCTGGTCTGGAAAAATAATCTCCTACCAACAAAATCAACACTTTCTCTTAGAACAGGTTTCAGGGCAAAAACTGCCCATTTCCCCACCTTCTGTCATGCTCCCGACACAAGACTGAACGACATGCACAGAATCCCGAAGCGAGGCTCCTAGGTAGTGGCTACGACAACTAGTTTGGATGACTCCATGTGGAGACAGACTTGAAGGACATCCCTTGTCAGATGACACCCCCGGAGAAAACTAGATTTAACTAAGACATTTCAGTGGAACAGACTGGGATTTGAAATGGCTGCCAGTCTGGTCATCCAGCGGGAACTTGCAAATTCAGACGGGGTGGGAACTTCTGTTTCTTTCCCGAGCCTTCTTGCTGCTGATCCAGTTACACTGTCCTTTTGTTCTTGTTTATTTTAGTTCACTCCATTATTAAAAATGGAGAAAAAAGGGCTAAACAATGTGTACATATTTGATTTGAAAGCTGCTCCCCTTTGGGAGAGACCCATAAACCGGTGACAAAAGCCATCTCTCACTCCTGCTGTGACGCTCCACACTCCTGCTTATTCTCAGGGAGTCCGGCCTCCAGACCCTGGGACTAGAACGCAGTCCCATCCTCACAGGAACCATTCCTCGCACGGCCACCTCCGTAAGAATCGAAGCACAAGGTCACTGTCCCGCGCACAGGGGAATATGTTTTGGTCAGGTATAAAATGGAATCATTTCAAAGTTGAGATATCTACAGGTTGACAAGTCTGTGGGGAATGAGTCGTGCTTCACCCTGTCACACTGACGTAAGAGGTTCGGGTTTTCAGAAGTCCCCTCTCGGATTAACTTCTATAGTGGTCCATGTAAACAAAACACAGGTGTGAATGGTCTTTCTGAGGCTGCTTTCATCGAACAGCAGGGTTTCCTGAAAGAGTGGTATTGGCTAAATGCAACACCGGCAGAGGGTGAGCTTCTGTATTAAACACCCAGTGGTCTAAAGGTAGAAGGTCATCACCGGAGAACAGCAGATACAAATACCTGAAAATAAAAGGAAGAAAAATGAGCTTTGGTTAGAGTTCAACACGAAGATCCAAGTGACCCAGGAATAGTGGCAGAGGACACCAACAACCCCTCTGAGCAGCTCCGATGGAAAACACTGTTGGGGACCGCTCTGCCTGGTTTCAGGAATTGTAACTACTCCCCATGGCCAAAGATAAGTGAGCGACCTCCAGAATGCAAACCACAGGAGACAAGGCTTGTCTCTGGTAGCAAACACTGCCTCAGTTTCCTCTCCCTGCCCCCAAAGCTTGGTCTATGTTGTTGACCGGTAAGTCTCCTCACAGCGGGGAGCAACCTAAGCCAGACATGATCACTTGGGAGGCCATCCTGGAAGGACTGGTGGGGGGGAGGGGGCTGCAACAAAGAGTGAGCAATAAACCCGTGTCCCCCAGCTATGTGACATAGCCTGAGTCCCCCTGTCCTCTGGGAGAAGCGCTTCCTGGCTCTAATCCTCTTAAGCCTGAATACCTGATAGGGAGGGGTGCAGCTCCTTGCCTTTCCAGACCTGATCCTGGGAAAAATCTGGCATCCAAAGACTTCCTGAAAAACCTGTGAAATCTGCTCTGCTAAGAGTGCTTTCATTCATATGTTAAGGGTTCAAGCAGGAAACCCTGAAAGTTTCTGCAGAACCCCCTTCCTGACAGACACTGACTCAGACTAAACCCTCAGAGTTCTTTGAAACGTTATCTACCGTTGTTTTCCTTGCTGCCCTGTATTCTTGTGTATTACAACCCAGTAAAAGTCCTTAGAGGAAGGGGCTCGAGGCCTTTTCCCCTGAGAAACTGGCCACTGCTCAAGGCCCTTCCCTTTTGAGGGATCGGCCATTTCTCTTCCCCAAGCAGATCATGTCTTGTTTTGTTTACTTTCATCCCTGCCGGACAAGGAGACTTGCGGGAAAAGTTGCCCCCACAAAACACAGAGCACAGACCCCAGTCACCCAAACGATCTAAAACACAGCAACCACGTGCCCCACCCAGAGCGGCGCCGAAGCAAGCCCGGCGAGCCGCCCGAGACCCCCGAGAAGAGAGAGTAGAAACACGTTCCACACCCCATGTGACACACACAGAACAAGCTGTAAAATGGCATAAGACAAACAGCTTCACAATTTTCCAGACATTCTTTTAAAAATAGCACATCAGTCACATGTTTTGTTATGTATAACTAGAAATTAACTGGTATCTGTTGGTCATCTAGAAATTAATTAGAAATTAATTAACTGATATTTGTAAACAAACACTGAGAGAATGAAGTAAAGCACATTATTTGACACAGCGGGAACTTCTGCAGGCTCCCCACACAGCAGTTTTGCAGGTGCTGCAAAGTATTAAACAAAGGCTGCAGAAACATGGACTTACAGGAGGTTTAATAATGGTTAATTTCTCTTCATTGGAATAGCACTGTTTGTAACAGAAAGGCAAGGATTCCTGACTGCCCGCTCCCTGCAGGGGAAATGCAAGCCAGAGTGGTTACACAGAAATCAGAAGCGAGAGACTTAACTCACACAGTGGCTGTGAGCTGCCATGGTGGGCAGAGCCCGATCTGAATTCTGGAGGTGCAGGTCCTGACAGTGGGCATAAAAACTAGCTACACAGAGTCAGAAAATCTGGGTTCTAACTCTTGACCTTGGCAACAACTAGCTGGGCCTTACTAGGCTCACTGAAGAATTCCTCTACAGTATTTTAGCTAAAACTTATTTGTTTTAAACACAGGTACTTTACTGTCTTTTCTGACCACTGTCATAGATCGGGATGACAGAGTACAAGCACTCAGCACTGTGGCAAGCTGAGACTGCGTATCAACTGCGACAGCACTGGAAGGAGAGCGACAGGGCTCTTGGTCTCTCTCCTTGACCTTAGACCTGAGACCCTGCTCGACTGAGTTATTCACCTGGTTGCAGGCAGAGACGTTAGAACTGAAAAGTCAGACTTGGTTGGGTCTGCTTACTACACGGAGACCAGAAGCCCCAGCTCTCGGTGTTCTGGGCACGAACATGTCCAGGGGAGCTGTGTTCTGTACAAGTCCATGTCTCTGCCTGTCTCTCGGTTACCTGTGGGCTACTGGACCTTCACTTCGTGGAAGAGTGTGTGAAAGAACAAAGAGAGGGAATACAGGGGTTTCCTGAAGAATGACTCCTTTCCATGGGAGATTCTGTGGAAGTACTTCATATAAACACGGGTGTTAAAAAAATCAGGAAGATGAATGTGACAACTTTAGATAACAAAAAATGCTATTTTTAAAAAGATCTTAATTAAATACTACTGTAGAGGGTTGAATAGTGCACCCCCACCTTCATTTCCACCTGGAGCCCCCACATGTGATCTTATTTGGAAACAAGGTCTTCAGGATCTTGAAGTGAAATCATTCTGGACTTAGGGTGGGCCCTGAATCCAAACACTTGTGTCTTTACAAGAGAAAGGAGGGGAAACTGGACCCAGACACACACGGAAGACGGCCAGGTGAAGACAGAGGCAAAGACTGAAGTTATGCTGCCACGAGCCAAGGGACACCTTTAGAGGAGACTGATTTCAGACCTCTGGCCTCCAGAACTGTGAGAGAGTAACTTTCTATGGAGCCACCAAGCGCATGGTAACTTGCTTCAGCAGCCCCAGGAAAACAATCCAGCTTCCACCCCTACCTCTCCGTGCCTCTGGACCTTAAGCACTGCTGCTAGGTCGCAGGGGTTTGGAGCAAGACTGACCCCTTCTGGCAGCGTCAAGCAACGCTGGAGAGCAGGGGCTGCCCCGAGGCTTAAACGATATACAGCGGATATACAGCGTACACTTAAAAATGTATTACACAAAGTCAATGTTTAAAATTAAAGAAATACAGCTACACAGCTCTTCTTAAGTTTGGATTATAAGTTCACAAGAGGATGTCAAGGACATGGTATACAATTACTGATTTATTTTTAAACCTGGAGTTTAAAAATAGAATAATTAGAGAAGCACTATCTTTGCTGTGAAAGTTGAGAAAAGTCTACGATTTAAATTAGCTAACAGACTCCTAGATATTTTTTACTTCTAGTAAAGATTTTTTTAAAACTATAGTTCAAGGTTAGAGATAATGCATTACAAAGGACTGACTGAAGCCTGTCGGTATATAAAAAGGTGCTATTAAGTACTTCAGCTTCGCTGGATGTCCTGGGTACCTTTTAGAGCTATTTTTAAATGCTGTTCACAAACATCACTTTTCTCCTCCTCTCATGTGAAGACAACACAGTTAGAGGAGTTGGTGGTGCCGGAAATCATCAGCACAATAACCAAATAGGGAACTTTTCAGAAAGAAGCCACCAGATCTGAGAAGAAACATGGAAGTGACTCCAGAGAACAGGCGAAGGTGACGGAGGTGAATGTGTAACCGAGTGAATGTAGTCTTACTTACTCCTTTACGCTCATCTGTCCAACGGGCCTTGATGACTCATTTATTCTTTTTCTCAACGACCAAAGGCAATGAATGGCAGGTGTATTATGGGTAGACAGATGTTACAACTTACAAAAAGCCCTGCATATGGACTACAAGGTCCTCATTTAAAAAAAAAAAACAACAAAAGACTGTTTGAAAAATAATTTAAAACTTCCATTTATTTATACTTCTACTGTTTAAATAATGTCCTTGGAACTGACTGCTTAGAAATCAAATTAAGTTAAAGATAATCAGTGAAAATGATATTCTAAAAGATGATGCATTAAAACATCCAATTATTAATCTCTCCAAAAGGCTGTCCTCTCTGTGTCCTTCTCCACATCTTCTGTCAAATCTCACACTTGCTGAAGCAGTGGGGAAGAGAAATATTGAACGCAGCACGGGCACGTCATGGATTCAAAGGGAAAATACACATGCAGTTCTCAGAGACAAACTGAAGGCGGCAGACACTTCTGTGTGCTGTGCCGGGTCAGGCTTTCTCCCGGACGTGAGGGGGATTCATACTGCTCTGCCTTTAGGGGTCAAAGAAGTTGAGTGATTTTGCCTCCAGGAGACAGGACAGCTAAACTATACACACAACTGGGTTATCTCATACAGCAGCCCAGAGGCAGATGGTGACAAAGGTTGGTTAAGTCAGCAGTAAAACATGGTCAGAGCTCCCAGGTTTGCAAAGGTTAGTGAAAAGAATACTAAAATTTTCCTGGTGTCTTGAGAACACTTGTAATCATCCCTTTGATATGTATACAAATCTTTTAAAAAGCCAAATCAACCTTTTGTCAGTTTTATAAGCCAGCAATATTTTCCTTATAGGCCAGGGTGCTCTGTCTTTGAGATATAAACATCAAGGAAGAGAACACCCCATTCTCCCTGTCAAGAAATTAAAAAACCAAAAAATGTTAAAAATTTTTTCCTCCAGTAATCAGGATCTTGGTAATATTCTTCACTTTTTCCTCAAAATTATAAGATGCTCACGCCTTCCATCTTCACAAAAAGCCCAGAGTCAGAAAGTAAAAGCAAACGCCCCTCAGGCGGGGGGCCCACTCTGACGTTGTAACAGGTGCGGTGGCGGCTCACTGCGGCTCTGATTTGTGCTGATGACGCTGGGCTCATCTGTCATCCTCACAATCTTTAGTGTGACACTCAACTCTTTTTCCTGGTTTTAACTGGGGTTGCATGTTATCTTCTTGTCTGCATACAGTCTAGCCACTTTTCATCGCTTCATTTCATTTTCTTTCATTCTTTTACAAACATCTTTCAAAGAGCAGATGGTTTTAAATTTTAGACCAATTGATCAATTCATTCTTTTATGGATTATGCCTTTGGTGCAATGTCTGAAAAAACCTTTTCCCACCATAAGGTCCCCCAGTTTTCTTCTGTTTTCTACTAAAAGCTGTTGTGGGTTTTTTTAGGTTTTCAATTTAAATCTATGATCCATTTTGATTTTTGTATATGCATACAGAAATTCAATTACTTCAGCATACTGCATGATTCCAATTATAAAAACTCTAGAAGAGGCAATCTATAGTAACAGAAAGCTATGTGTTTGTAGGTGGGGT